CTCAGAGGCAGATTAAGCCATATTGTTGATGGTCGAAGAAGAGATTTTCTACTCGCAGGAGGAGACGTAAGAACTGCAACAGCTTAAACTTGAGATAGACATGGACTCCATCCAAGTGAGTGATGGACTGAGATCCATGCAGGAGAGTATAAACCACTGGACTTGACACATCCAGAGTGCTGTAATTTGCAGCCATGCAGTAGGCATTCATTGTGCACTATAGAGTGTTTCACATTCCAACATTAAGCAAAGCAGCAGTTTATAAATGCATTACACATCACAGCACATTTTAGAGCAGACGCCTCATCTCATACCTCAGGATCCATCAAACTTTTGGAATTTTTAAAACTTTTTAAAAAAAATTAAAAATTGATAGATAACACAAATGGCCTCCAAAAAATTCAGGTTCAGACATAATGCAAACAGGCAAAATAAATAATTCAAGACAGTGGTACCTACATCAAGTCTTTGAACCAACAATAAAATTACAAGATAGCTCACATGATTTCTCCTTTGTGCTGCAAGAGAACAGAAGCTTTTTCTAGTAATCTCTTGATATCACAAGCCTTTATATCCTTTATCATTGATGAAGCATTCCCCCTTTCACATAAATATTTGTTAAAAAATAAAAAGGGCATGCATGTATATTACAAAATAACAGATGGCGTTAAAGCCTAATCATAGGTTCAGAAACATTATTCAGTTCTCGAATATTAGTTATATGGAAGGTGGCCCATCCCCTAAACATGCATAATCTAGAGCCACGACAGCATGTCACGTGGTACAGAAAATGTCACAAAAATTCACCGGATGAACCGTGTAAGAGTTCATCACAGCGCTAATATACATCAGCCATCCAGAAAAAAAGCCAATCATTACATTACGAAAAGAAAATGAACAATGTTCCTCTCACAAAAACAGAAATCGGAATGGGATTCAAAGTTTGGGTGAGAAAACATTTGTGCTTCATAACATCGGAACTCTTAAATACATTAACCTCCCTATAACACACCCTAACTTCTGCCTCATCTCAGCTTACCCAGGACACCAGGCAACGTGAAATCCAGAAATTATTACAAAATATATTCTGTGATGCTTCGCACAGCAGGCACGACAACGATAAATAAGGGATGTTCACTGTGGCTTTAAAACCCGACTTGATAGTTGAAAGATACAAGTGTGATTTGAAAACTAACTTTTTTAAAAAAAATAACACAGCAAGAATACAGTACAGCACCAACTTTCACAAGAGTAAATAAATAAATAAAACCTTGAACATGATTAAAAAAATTCACGTTAAGCACAAAACATTCAAAATTCCCCACATTTGCTGCTAAAATCTGAGCCATTGCAGAAACACAATTTTTTTTTGCATCTTTGTTTAAAACACTAAAGGAGCCTGTCAGGGCAGCCAACCCCCACCCCAAATTAAACATAGCGAGAGCAATTAATTCTGTCTAAAATTGTACAAAAAGGGAAATGTCAATGTTTCTGTCAATCGAGTCCTTTCAAAGAACAGCAAGGCATTTGTCTACCACAGAGTTCTCGAGTCTAGAAGAACTTTTCGGGTTGGTAAAACTCAGATTGGCAAATGGAGACAAGCAAAAGAGCTCAGCTTGCACGCCTGTGCACTCCTGTCCACATCTGGGTGAAAGCGAGTGATTGCTAGACCTTCGAGTTGTTGCACAGAACTGTTCAAATGGCACCAAGACGTTTCATCCTTGAGCATCTGGAAAGGAATGAAACGAGGGGTTAGGCTGATGAAAATACCACAGACACTTGCTCCAATTTATTCCCAACTTCGTTGAAAATAAACTTTTGAAGTGACGGTGATGAACATAGAATAGTTTCTTTGGTCAAAGTTAGATGGTTATTAGGACACGGAATGGACAACCAAAAACAGCAGTGGAAGCAGAATGAATGCCGGCAGGAAATTAGATAACTACTTGAAAACAAAAAAAGTCTAGGAAAAGGGCAGGCGTCAGAATAAATGACTAGTTCTCCGAGAGACAGCACCTGAACATTTGGCCACATGCACTTCTTTATGCCATAAAATCAAGAAATATTCAATCAAGAAAAACCTAGAAACAAAACTAATTGAACTAGACTGCCTAGACTGGTGCGAATGTTCGGGAAGGGAAGAGGGACACTTCTTGAAGTCAGCGGCCCGCAGTAGTTTGACCGGCACTGCTTTGTAACAATCTAATTTCTTTTTAATTTTGTTATCTATCATCCCGCGAATATATTTTAGAATATTTTTCTGTCAACTTCCCAAAAGTAATGGTTAACATTGATACAATTTAGATGAGAATTACAATAACCATATTCTAATCTTTTTCTGCTTTTTGCAGTTTCTTCGAATATAAACATTCAACATTCACTTTAAGGTAGAAGATCATTGCAAGGAAAAAGGTCAAAGATCATTTTTAAATAGTGGGAATGTAGAAGGCCTTTCCACAAGACGAGTCCCTAACAGTACTGACAAAGGAAGTGTCCAAAAGGAAACAATATCTGTTGTAACTCACCGTGGCACAAAGGAGGTGGCTGAGACTATACTAGACCATCATATAGAGAAAGTGCTTGCACAATGGATGGATCTGCTTTCGACCCCTCTTGAAACTCCTGTAGGGTTAGCTTCCCATCAGCATTCTGTAACGTAGAGGAACATAGAAGGATAGAGGAAGAATGTTTCAGAGTTTGGGCGCATAGTGGTCGAAAGCGCAGCCACCAAAGGTGGAACGGAGGGCGCAAAGGACATGTAAGAGGCTGGAGCCAGTCGAGAGGAAAATTGGGGGGTAAGCAGGTCGGAGAGGTAGGGAAGTGCCAGGGCAGAAAGGGATTTGAAAACGAGTATGAGGATCTTAAAATCAATCTGTTTGGCGATACAGAGCTAGTGCAGCCTGGCTGGAATCGGTGTGATGGGGGTACGTAGTACGGGTGAGTATGCGGGAGGCAGAGTTTTGGATCAGCTGGATCTTGTGGATGATAGAGCAGTGGAGACCGGCGAAGAAGGTATTTGAAAAGTCAAGTTGGGAAGTAACGAATGCATGGATGAGTATCACACACGCACACACCCACACACGCACACAGCATGAAGAACATTACCTTGTCCATCATGGCAAAAATCCTATCCACTCGTTTCTCTGGTGTGTTTTCCTCTTCGGGGAGTTCCACTGTATTACCCTGAGAGCCCAGAAATCAGCAATAATATCACTGGTATTAGCAAAAATCTAATTTAAGCTAATGTTATAGAATCTAAGACAATTATACAAATGAGTGAGAATTAGGCATTAAGGACTTTCCCTCCCAATTTATTATCCCACCCCATTCATACTCTGAATTTATTTCCAATGATGTGAGTCGCGGTCCAAACTCAAAAGTCACAATTAGTTTGAAATGTTAGCATATTGCAGGAAGTTTAAATCAACAGACAATTAACAGCAACAAGTCACATTTATATTGCGCCTTTCAGGACGGGAGGACGTCCCAAGACGCTGGACAGTCAAGGATTTGGACCCGAGCTGGGGGTTGGGATCAGGAGAGGTGGAGAGCAGGGAGAGTATGAGGTAGGAAGGTGACCGAAGACACAGTCGAAGAGGGAGGTGGGGGGGTTCTTGAGACATGCCTTGAAGTAGGCAAGTGAGGGGGAGAGCGAAGGAACCGTGGGATGGAGTTCCAAAGGGTGGGGGGAGAAAGACTGAAGGCTTGATGGGGCGGGCCGGGTGGGGAACATGGAGCAGGCCACAGTCTGCTGAGCGGAGGGAGCGGACAGGTCCGGATGGAGTTAACAGGTCACAAAGGTAGGAAGGATCATGGTCATGGAGGGCTTCCAATAAACCCTGCAATTGAATTGTACTGACGTTATAGGAATTATTACTGTATAAAGAAGTCGACTGGAAGATAAGCTAGCTGTATTGAGGTCCAAATCACCAAGGTTGTGAGACACATTTTCATGAGGTCTTATCTTTAAATCAATGACAACATGAATTTTCAAACATTTTATAACCAATACCAGGAGGATATGTAATTGGGGGTATGGCCCTGAGGGAAGTTATGTTCTGGCCAAAAGTTCCTGGGATAAATGAATGGGAGAAAGAATCTCAGTGCAGACTGAGGCTGGATAAGAGAAAAGAACACTTCCTGGTGTGGCAACTGGAATATTAAGGACAGAAATAGAATAGACAGAAGGAGCCAGATCAATTGAGAGAGAAAGGTGTGCAAAATCTGTCTAACCTGTGAATATGAATGAATGCCCCACACTTATTAAAACTGGAGCCAGCGACTCAGCACTTGGCAGTAAACAAGGCAGAGGAGAACACTCAATGTCAATCTAGCAAGTGGGCAGCAACTGGAGTGAGGGGAATGTGGAAAGAAAAGCTAACGTTCATTACAGTGACAGGAACCTTCAGTTCCAACACTGGAGGAGATCACAGGCATAATTTTATGTAGCATATATTAACATCTTGTATTTATGATTCCCCCTGCCCCCAAATAACCTGTTTGTTTTGTCTTGTTCCAAAATCCAACTTTCACATCTCAGCAGAAAACTCAACTCCTCAAATATGAAGATGTAGAGGAAAATTAAAAATAAAAACAGTCAAACATTTGGTCAAACTGAGAAAGCTGCGTCTCAGGGCTTATATATAAATATAATGTGTGCCATCTGAATAACCTACTCACCACCATCTGATAAATGGCATCAACGATATCCAGCATCTCATTCCTGGTGATATAGCCATCGTTATCCAGGTCATAGAGTTTGAAAGCCCCTGGAATAACACGTCAAACATATTCATGTATATCCAAACAAACCTCAAGGCAGACTTTGGTGAAATAAGATCTGTAATCACATGTATAGTAATATTTAGATTTTAACTAAGCCTCAGGTTGATGGAATTCCCCCCACTCCCACTGTATTGCTTTTGATTTTTTTATGTCAGCCGGGTGTCTGACACATGTGGAAACCCTATCACCATGCTCAAGGGTGTGCATTGGGGTAACTGCTGGAGTCTAACAAGCTAAAACTGCATAACTTGCCATTGATAAGCTGGCAATAACTCCCTCAACACTGCACTGGAGAGCCAGCCAAGCATCCTGTTATCCAACAATTATGTCTGAAAGTGATGAACCTCAAGGTGACCTCACATCTGAGATCCTCAGAGAGATTGTACCGAGAGTACCACCAAGGACCAAATTAGCAAAAATACAAGTTACTTACACCGTAGCTTCTCATCCAGAGTCCCTCTTGAAGTTACTGAGAGAGCTTGAATGAACTCGGAAAACTCGATTCTCCCATCCTGAAAAGTCATTCAGAAATCTGCATCAGATGGCACATCTATAGCTCACTATTTGTTGTTAAAAAAAAGGCAGCATAAGAGCTTTTCATGCAGTGGAGCCCAAATGGGCTGTTCCATTGAATGGCAGAAAATGGAAGTTACTGATCTCAATCTTACAACGTTTGGAAAGGGCTGAGAAAAGGGGACAGGGAGGTACTGCCTAGGCTGCTCTCACCTCCCAGTGAGATGGGCAGAGCAATATTAGCAGGGCTCTAGAAACACATCGCCTGCCTGAACTCCAGGTAGTGCGTGATGAAAGAAAAATTACCGCCATTTAAAAAGATGGGAGTCTTCACATCGTTAAAAAAAATTTCATTGAATTCAATTTGAGCTGCACTGAGGATAATGTTCACTAATAGATTTGTTGGTTTATTGCAAATCTCAGGTTAACAAAATCCGGTAGGAAATGCCTGTATTGCTCGCTGAGCTTTGCTCACGTGCGATTTGCAGCTGTGAATTTTGTAAACAAGAGGTCAGAATTAACACAACAGATCCTGTTGGCAAACATTACAAATTACATCTGATTGTCCCTCTTTCTCTCAGGTTAGACAACTCTAAACTCTTCCTATGGACAAAGTCATGATTCATTCTGATTGAAGAATAATTTCAAGAGCAAATTCCTCACTTTGTTTTCATCGAAGACATTGAAGACAAACGTGGCAAACTTTGTAGGGTCTCCAAAAGGGAAGAACTGTTTGTAGATTTTCTGGAAGCCTGCCGAATCAAGTTGTCCGCTGGGACAATCTTTGATGAAACCTTTATACCTGTCGATATAAAATTAAAATTACATTATCCACCAGTAAAGCGAGAAACTTCTAAAAAGTTCCACTTTAGATCAGTGTCAAAATATGCACAACTTCTGCCATGATCACTGGTTGACCCAACATTTAAACTCATGTACCATTCATAAAAAAACAAATCCTTGCATTTGGTACAGTGGATTTCACATCAGGAGCTCATCTCTAAGCTCTTTACAGGATACACTGTGAAGTGTAGTTTGTGGGCAAATGTGGCAACCAATTTGTGCACAGTAGTGCCCCACAAAGCACAATGAAGTAAATGACCAATTTTATTTGGGGTATTTGGGATATCTGCCGGGAGTCGAGCGAGGATGAGAGTGATGGGCTTGGGAGGTCTGACACGGATGAGGCTGCGGGATTCTGGATGATTTGCAGCTTGTGCAGGTAGGAGCTGGAGGAAGCACCCTCTGCTTCATCCAAACCTCTCGTGAACATTCTACTCATTCTAGCCTCCCTACTCTTTTGACTAGGGCTTGGGATATTCAACTGATAGTTCAGAAGGGGTGAGGACAGGGGGAAAGGAAAAGGAAAGAGGTGTTGAAGACAGTCTCTAATGACACACATATGTACTCTACTACCAAAGGAAATTTCACCCAGCTCAATAAGGACAGGACATCTCGAATTAAACACAACTGCAGCATTCCAGTGGATAATTTTAGTGGATGGCGCTATATAAATCCAAGTTGTTGTTGTAACCAGAAGTATGTCATTTGACCTTCTATGGTATGCTCCAACATAACAGATCTCGCAGAGCTGGGAGTTCAGCGTGACATACCTTTGGTTACTGGAATGAGATTTTATTTTATAATGCGATTTTATTTGTAATGCAGAGGACCAATGACTCCTGTTATGAATCGTTGCAATTTAAACCCTTATATATTCGTGCACTTGGCTTCACTGTGTTCAGTTACAGAATCTTGGTTTAGTGGGGAGGGGAAGGAGTCAAGGAGATTCAACCAGGCAATTCCTAACTTTTACCACTGGGGGACAGTAACTGCACAGCTCGTAGACTCAATACCAGATATATCTGGAGTTAAAGCTTTCAGATCTAAAATCAGCATGCTCTCAAGGACTTTCTTTACAGTAGGCCTGGCTCAGCTGATAGAGCTCCGAGTCAGAAGGTTGTGGTTTCAAGCCCGGCATCAGGATTTGGAATTTATATAGACTGAGGTGACACTCCAAAGCAAGGCAGCGTGTGCGTGCGTGGTGTGTGCGCGCATTGCTGGAGTCACCTGCCAATCAATCGCAATTGGATTCCTCCCATCTCCTCCCTGGAGCTGCTCGAGACACCGAGTGAGTAGCCGCAGTGAGGCCTTTTGTCCGGATTAACCGGAATGTTGTCTGAATTAACAGGCGTATTTAAAATGGGTAAGAATACAATTTAATCGGGACCGGGCGTTTTGTCCGATTCACCCGGAGTCAGGCGTTAACCGGCGTCCAGCTAAAGCGGATTCCACGGTGTATCTAGCTCTTCACCAGCCGTTCAGCTACAACAACATGGCCACAGCTTCAGTTGCATTAACAAAGTGACAAGCTTCTCTTAATTATAGCATTTTATAACAAACAATATGAACATTTATAGCACACACATTTATATATGCTTCACTGTTAATGATTTAAACTATCTTTCTTCTGGTTGAGCCCAGAGTTCGACAGGGTTATTGTCTTCCTCCCTTCTTTCTGGTGACCTCCACTCTGAACGGATACCAGCAGAAAATGATGGATTGGACGGTCCTACTTTCGTACTTTGTTTCTACACTCTGTTCCCGTCTGAAATCTCCTCTGCATTCAAGTATTTTTTTGTTGCCAATTTGGAGACGTTAATATCCTTTTACAGACTGGTTTGCTGGAAATAATAAATGGCCATTAGCTACTGGCTTTTTCTAGTCCCAGATGTTTGCTCTTAATGCTTCAAGATTTATTTTAAAAACAGAAAATAAACCGCTCCAATAGAATCTGCAACCTCCAAGCTGCGCAGCCTATAAATGTCTCTTTAAATGGTTTAAAGGCATGATTTATAGATCAGATTTTCCAGCATTGAGTTCATTCAGGGATCACATACTTGTGTCAAAGCCCAAAGGGTTCCCCGCCTAAAGACGTTCTTTTGTGATGGTGCTTTCGGTCACCTCCCCGCTCCCTGCGGCTCAGCTCCGACACTGTCAAGCTCTCCGGGTCGCTACCCCGCGTGAAGGGTGCTACAGAAATGCACCAAGACAGTATAACGAGGGGACACAGGTTTAGAGTTGCAAAGGGCAATTTGAGGACCAGTAAGTTTTTATTTAACCACAGGGTAAAAAAACAACTGGAACAGATTTCCAGGAAGGGTGATAGGACTCATTTAGAAACAACTTGCTTCTTTGATGGGAGGATGGTAGTTTGGGTATTCTGGAGGGATGAGATGGCCTGGAGGACCTTCTTCATCCACCATGGATTCCTGCAGAAAACCACTTTCTACTTGCCAGTCTGAAAAGATCCACTTTTCTCCGATTCCGTTTCCTATTTTCCTGCCACCCCTCAATCTTTCTGCTACCTCTCCTATGACTCCACTCGCTCTTCTGATTCCAGCCACAAATCTCTTATGTGGCACTTTATCAAAGGCCTTCTGGATGTCCATATATATCACAGCCACTTCATTTCCCTTGTCGATGCTATCTGTTACTTTTTCAAAGAATTTGATTAGGTTGGTTAAGCACGACCTTCCTTTCATAAATCCATGCTGGCTGCTTTTAATTACACTCTCCTTCTCCAGATGGTTTGTTGTTTCATCCTTTATTATGGACTCCAAAAAACCTTCCCCAACACAAATGTAAAGATAAGTCGAGTGACACTCCATTGGACAATAATAATGTAATGGATGAACGGTTTTAAATTAAATGTCAACTCAAGGTAGATTTATTAAAGCAAATTATTTCCACGTTAATCTTAAATGTTAACCAAAATACTAAGACCCGAATGAGTCATTCAGTCATGTTGAAACATTTCTTAGTCGATGCAAGTTATTTGCCCTCTTTTTTAAAAAGTACTTTTTTTTACTCCAAATGTTCCTCAGTTGCAAAATAACATCATGATTGTCTGATTCTTTTTAACACTTTGCAGAGAATGCCATTTCCAAGACGCATAATATTACCCTTTCCTGTCTGGTTATGCAGTGTGCAATGTCAAACACAATCCAATAAAGAATCAAACTGTTGTATAGTATAACAATACACCCAAGTATTCATTTATGAAGGAAGCAGGCTCAGCGAGTTTCGGCCTGCGACAGGTCCCCTCCCTTGCCCACCCCACCATTGGCAGGTGGGCCTTCAGCCTCTCTGCCCCCATCCTCTAGAACTCTAACCCACTGTCTTTTCCGCCCCGCCTTGCCTCCTTCAAGACCCTCTTACCCCTAATCTCCCTAACCTCCCCGCCCTCCACCTCTCCAACTACCAGCTCACGTGAATATCGCTGACCGTCCAAGCACCTTGAGACGTCCTCCTGATGTGAAAGGCGCTAAACAAATATAATTTGTTGTTTTGCAATGCAGCAATGGCTAGAGTTCTCTGCACCTCAAAGATTTCAGAGTGAATTCAATAGGAGATTTTTTCAAGACTTCAACACTTTAATGTAATTAAGTTAGTTACATAATTAAGTGTTGGGCAAGATATCAGCTGTGGTATCACTGCCACCTACTGTTCCAGTCCCAAGTGCCTGCCTGGCAAGATTGCATTCGTGCCACATAGAATTAAAGCCATTTAAACATTCTTCCTGCCATGCTGGAGATCAGAATTTTCAGAGGCAATGGAATCAGTAAGATGTTTTTGCAAGAGGCAGCCACTTTTATACAAAGTGCCCCCATTGTGGCTGCCTCCTGCAGCAACAATCAATTCTTTTCTCCACCCCTTGTTCTCTATATACAGAAGTCACTCGCAGAGCCACTAACCAAAGTGGTCTTCAACTTTGTTCCCTACACCATCAGACCCACTGCGTGTATTGCAGATTTACTGTGGTTGAACAGACATGCACAGAGATAATTACAGACTGCAAAAATAATTAGGGCCATAAATTCAAAGGGCTGTCACATGTGAAATTTTTTATTTGTGTTTTTTCCTACAATTTGTGTCCCCGTTCCTCATTCCTGACTCACGCTAGGATTTGGTTCTATAAGCACCAAAACACCTCCTGTCCTTTACCCTAGAGGTCACCAGCTATTTCCCTCTTTGCCATCTTTAAGGACTGGGAACGCCAACAACTGTAGTATCCCGTGTTAACGCAGCAAGGACGAGGGATGGAATCTATGATGACCTTTATTATGTATGGAATAAATTCCTTTTGATCAAACAGACATCTGTGTACCTGTGAAATGTTTCTCTTTTTTTTAAAAAGATTACGAATGCTGAACTCACCATTGCTGGACTTCTTTTTCTGTAACTGCAAAAGAGAAAAATAAAGAGAAACATTAACAGAATTTCCAACAACAATCCTCTATCACCTGCAATTCAATCAAGTAATTTCTCACTGAACACTACCACTGTATCTTTACCTGTATTTTACTGGGTTTAGAGGATATCAGTAACAGGTCATAATACATAATACATAAGAGCTCAATGCAAATCTTCCACCTCATCACGTAACATTGATGCAAGAAGCAGCTTTTTATCATGGTGTTGCTGCCACTTTCAGCTACAAGAAAGATGTTGAATATGATAGCAATGATTATTAGTTGCTGAGTAATGTTCCCTACATCCAACACACCATTTTTTCACGAGGAGTTGCCTCCAGAGGCATGTTTTAGAAGGTAAATGTGTCATACATAAACAGTAATAAAAGACGATTTTCTTCATTCAACACAGTTGATTGCAAAGCACATTGTGAAGCACATTAATGCTTCAGGAACACTTAGTATCTTTCTAGAAATAAAACGTTTCTGTTCATTTTAATTGTCCACGGACCTTAACGTTCTCAACAATCACATTTCACGGATCTGGATGGTAGGAGATAAATTCATGTCCCAGGAGGAACATTAGCTGCAGGCTGTCTGCTACTTCAAGTCATCTATCAATGAAATCCTCTGGCTCCCAGGCTGCTCCAGCTTCCCAGCTGAGTATAGATAAAGACGAATTATCTGTCTGTGAGTCTGTGTCAACCTTCATTCCTTTGGTTGCAAGCAAAGCTGTAATGGGTACAGCTAGTTATTATTATTAGATGAATCTACACTTGTACTTCATTTTACATTGCTCCTTCCTTTCCTCTGCACATTTTGCACATAGCTTCTTCCCCCCTCTCCCCCACCCCCCTTTCCATGCAGCTCCAGCACATCAATCCCAAGAGGCAGGTGAACACTTCCTGAGATTCTACCACCACCATTCCCTCAGCAGTCTCCAAGAACAGACAGCCCAGGCTGACTTGTCTTCCAAACTCTCATTTGCCTCTGCTATTGCTCTCGCTTCCCATCTTCAAGGTCTAAAAAAAGTTAGTATGGTGTCTGAAGTTATCAATGCAGGTTTTACAGATAAGTCTTCTAGTCAACTTCAGGCAAATTCTAGGTCACTGCAGTGCTGAAATAAATTCCTGCAGTATGTTTCACACAAAACCATCTTCAGATCAGACATCCAGAAATACTACCGAGTCCACTTCCCTGCATCAAGCTCCATTCAATCTGGGATCTGCACTGCACATGGCCAGACCAGAGTCAAGCAGCTTTTTTAAAAAAAACGACATAATCTACAATATACAAATGCTTGGGAGGAAAACTGATTGGCTGCAGCCCATTTATGGAAATTCCTAAGACATTCAGAAATATCTTGAGCTTTGATCCTATTAACAACAAAAGAATTATGAAGCAAAGGCAGGTAAAGGCCACATGCTTTCAGCAACATGGGCCTGGGACTTCAGGGAGCAAAGGTGGGTGTCATACCAGGGAGACCTTCCCCATCAGAAAGACATCCCAAGACCCTGGACAGTTAAGGGTTTGCACCCGATCAGGGGGTTGGATTCGAGGGGGATGGGTGCCAAGCTGTTGAGATGACCGAAAGCACTGTCAAAGAGGAAAGTTTTGAGACGGATCTTGAAGAAGGCAAGGGAAGGGGCGAGGCTATCTCCAGGATAGAATTCCAGAGAGTGGGGGTCAAAGAGGCTAAAAGCCCAACAGTGTATGTGGCTCAAATCTGGCCTCACAGTCCACTGCGAGATCAGAACCACACCAAAGCCTAATGCACATCAGACAATTATCTTTCTACCCCTGCATCATTCTGGAGGCCAAACATGATAAAAAGTTCCTTTTCGCAGGAACAGGAATAGGCCATTCAGCCCCTTGACCCTGTTCCGCCACTGCGGAGTGTGGGGGACGGGAAGCAGGTCAGTGTCTGCCAAGGAGAGGGAGTGGGCAGGTTGGTAAGGTTTTAAAAGGTCACAGAGGTAGGACTGAGGCAAGATCGTGGAAGGCTTTAAAAGCGAGGACGAGGATCTTGAACTCGATTCTCTGGGGATGGGAGCCAGTGGAGCCAGTGATAGCTGGTGATGGGGATGATAGGATTGCGGAACCTGGTGTGGGAGAGGACACTAAATTATTACTGAAACAAAACTGTAATAATCTTGCAAACGTGTTTGAAAGAAGAATGGGGCACAAAAGAGGTGTATTGCTCTGCATGTTGCAAACACTTGACATCATTTAATGAGATTATTTTTGCAATAATTAGCTTAAAATAAAATAAGTAATTCGATTTAATGATGGAGTAGTAAACACACAGCTTCAGCCCCTTGGGATTAAACTCAGCAAATTTTCCAGATTTTTTTTAATGCCGCAGTATTTTGCCAATAGCTTTCAGGATTGGATCTAGAGAAAAAAACAATTGATTTGGATATGCACATGGAACTAATGAATTAATACAACCCCTTTTTATACAGCACGTAATACAGCTCAGCAAGTCAGCATGCCCACTCACACAGCCCTGTGCTGTAGCAAAGCAGATTTTTTCTGCTCGTTCTTTTCCAACATAAAAAGACGGATCAGCATATTGCCCGGGAATGTGCCTTGCATCAGTTTCATTTGCAATGCGAGCAGTGATGAGTGAAAGTCCAAGACCATTGCATCAAAGTGGCCTCACATCATTTCTGCTGTCAATTTGCATTCAGATCAATCGATAAACATTTGACATTGCATCAAAATTGAATCAAATTTAGCTTTAATAAAACTTGCATGTGATATATGGTGATTTAAAGCTAGGGTTAGCTGCGAGTCTGCTAACTGGCAGGTATCAAGGGAAGCATAGTTAAGGTCATGTTACTGTCTATCCAAAGAATTTTAGATCAAGGGACACTCCCACATTTCAATTTATACTCTATCTTATAAACATTTCAAAGATATTTTGATAGGCAGAGTTCTCAGGTTCCTTTCGTTAAATTCTCTGAGTGCTGCAGTGGAGCAAGCTCATGGCACAGACTCCCCCCCCCAAAAAAAAAAACTGTTAAATCACTATTCTCCTACTCCCACGCACAAATCAGGCAGGCAACTGGAAAGCTCTCCTCTGTACCCAGCTGGACAGTCACTGAAGTGAGTGTCAGCAGACACTGTCGAGAGGGCATCACAGTGGAACCTGATCTCTCATCACCCGCCTGCCACACGTGCACAATCAGAGGGACCAAGAGCAGGAGTCCTGGCTGTTTCTCCATCCCTAACCCTGGAAAGGCCGTGCCTAATTGTGTTTCTCTATGCTGTCCCAGCTGAGACCAGCAAACGCAGCACAGACAGTGAGCTCCTGGTTCGTAAACTTCAACAAAGATCAGTCAGATTTCCTAAGCTCATTTTCTCTCCCTGCAGGAGATTTCTGTCAGATTTCAAGACAACAATTCACTTTTGACCCAGTTATACAGCTGCTCCCTGATAATTTTACATTCCATAGCCAGCAGCTTTCTATCTCAACCTCTTCCCACACCGATCTGTTAACTATAAGCATGACTTTGCAGAATGTTACGATTCTCCTTACCTTGCTGCAGAATCCCTTCTTTGCTATATCCTGACATACAGGGGTTGCTTTTGCTCTCCTACCTTTGCTAGACGTCAAACAAAGATCGAGCACCTACAGGTCTGTTTAGGTAAACAATGTCCATGTGGGATGCTTTGATCATCTCCAGCACTTAATTCTCTTGCTCCACTGGAGTTAAAATTCATTTACGGTCCAAATCCGAATTTCTTCACTAAATAAAAGGAACTTGGAAAAGTTTAGTTCAACCATATTATGATACTGCAATAACCTAACCAGGTGCAATACCGACCAGGCTTAACATAATATTAACAGAAAATGTGTAAATTACTCCATATGTCCTTTTACGTTCTCATGAGGTCAACGCTAAATGAAGAGAAATGCCTCAGAAAAACTTCATATCTTAATTTTTTTGGTCAGCCAGGTGTCTGACACATGTGGAAACCCATCACTGTGCTTAATCAAGCCAGTTCCATGCATCCCACATGGAAATTCCAGAAATATTTATTGGAATGCAATGTGCGCTCTCTCCCTGGAGGGACTCATCCTGCTTACCTAATTCTGGAAAGTATATGGTTCAGGTAGGCAAGAGCCAATGCTTAGGAACCCCAGAGTGTGCGATAACTTCTGGAGATTAACCAACTAAAAACATAGCTTGCCATTGATAGCCAGGCACTTCCAAGCAAGCTTTCCCACTGTTTGTCCAGCTAGGATCACCCTATCTGTTTGGGCTTGCAGAGTTAACAGGAGTTGAGTGGGAAGAATCCCTGCCCCTAAGTGACTGGTCTGCCCCTCTAACTTCTACCAATGAACCAGATCAGCACAACTGTCATCAACGATGCCTTGGAGCAATATTGACCTGCCTGACTCAGGAACCAGACTACCGAGACCACTTAATAATAATAATCCTTGCATTTGATATAGCGCTTTTCACGTCTTCCAGACATCCCAAAGCGCTTCACAGAATATACTGTAAAGTGAATTGACTGTATATTTGTGGGCGAACGCGGCAGCCAATTGCGCACAGCAATGTCCCACAAACAGTCGTAGATTGAAAATGACCAATTTATTATTGGTTTTTTTTGGAGGGATTATTATTAGGCTCTGTGTGGAGTAAGGAAACTTGCCCAAGGTTTCGCCCTCTGCCTGGAATTGAACTCAGGTCTCTCGCTTGCAAAGCGAGTGCTCTAACCACTGAGCTACAGGACTCCACTTCAGAGATTGAGAGATTGGATTCTATTCTGAAATTCCGTTGCCAAACACATCAGATTGGAGCTGGCTCAATCAAGGAGACCCCACTTCCTCCCCCCACCACCACCCAGTCGTGGACATCTGACCAACGCAGGTGTGAGCCCTGCACTACGTGGAAAGCATTGTTTCCATTCAGGGCTTCCTGTTCAGATTTGAACACTGAGGTGATGCCGCGTTTTACAACCCAGCAACCTATTT